GCAGGAATGGTGTTTCCTCTGCTTTCTCAAGCAAGGTTAATACAGAGACTTTGTGGCCTTCACCAATTTGCCTAGCTGGTATCTGCACCACAGACTTCAGCCAAAGGGGGAAAAAAGTGACATTTAGTCCTCAGAACTTCCTCCAGGTATGCAGGATAAATCATGCTGGGAGAGGTGAGGTAGCCTCAGCACCACCACAATAGCTTCAGGGAAGGCAAAGAATTGCACTACTGATTTGGAGGAAGAAATCAACCAAAATGTCAACAAGACATTCCTTCCTAATCCTTACAAAAAAGGTTAAATGAAAAGTGCATTACATATATTTTTTGTGGGTTTTTTTTTAATCTTTAAGTTTAGCCTTGTTACAATGTTTACCCAAAAAAGTATTTAATATATTTTATGTACGAAAAATCCAAGGTCCAAGGACTTTATAAAGGACTTGGCTACATGGCTTGAATGACTAGTCAGCCGAGAGGACAGAACTTTTCTGGACCTGAGACATGATCCCCTACTGCCTGAGCTGAAAGCCTCAGATCTGTGTGAGGCTCTGCATCAAGAGCCCTGTGCATTCCCCAAGGGACATATTCTCCAAGAACATGTTCTAACCTAAAATTTTGCCTAACATCCCTGATTGGTAATTCTTGAAAAAAAATGTAATAAAATTATACCGATAGCATTCAAGGCTTTAACTCTCATAGCATCCCACAGCTCATCTCCCTTTCTGCCTAAACTGTAGCTTTTTTTTCCTCATTTGTAAAGAACACAGAGCACGACTTCTGTTCTTTTGGCAGGGGAACGTTCAAACCAGGCAACACATACTTGAACTATATTGATACAGAAATTCCTGGGAACATTTCAAAAGTTGAGTTTCTCTGGAAAAAGCATCTAGGTCATGTACAGGGAGGCTGCATGGGAGCTGAAGAAGTCACAGTAATATCTGGGGAAAACAGAAACGTGTGAGTACACAGTCTAATGGTGTTCCATTCTGTGGGTCTGGGGGGGGGGGGGAACAAACAAAAAAAAAATAGAAAAAGGGAAAAAATACCCAAAACACCTTTGCATGGTATCATGCCCCTTAAAACAAGTGGGTTTAACTACGGAAAATAAGAGCCTAATCCAAATTTCATGGCAGTACCTGGGTGTTTGGCTGACTACTGTTACTCCTACCAGCTCAGCACTGCAGCTAGGCTTCCCCAAAGAACAGAGATATCAAATCTGAAATTCTGGGGGGTGTAGCACTGCATTTGTAAGAAAGGTACAAGTTTTTCTCCTAAATTGCAGTTTCATGTGCCTTCGTCTGCATTAGCAGGTAGCACAGCACATCAGAAACAGCTCTGCTCAGTGCCCCAGTATACTTGCCCTGGCAAGGTGCTTTAGGCTGACTCCAGCCTGATCCCATGGACTGGGCACCCACTGGCATCTGCAGTACATTAGGCGCACTCCTGGAGCACGCCTCTTGGTTTAGTTTTAACCAACATGAATCCAGCTGATGTGTCCCGACACCACTGTGTCATGTAAACAAAAGTGTGGTAAGTTGGGAAAATGGAGTGAGAGATTCCCTTCAAAAGTGCGCTCCTGGTCCAAATTAAAATGCTGATGGGGTCTGAGCATAAAGGCAAACACATCTTAAAATTTAATAATTAGTCACTAACTAGTAATTCTTTAAAAAATCATTTAATAACACACACCTTATGTTCTCAGTCTACTAGAACTCATGCTTTGACCTAACATGAAATACAAATAGGATTTCTATTGATTATCTTGGGCTGCTGCTAAGAAAATGTCCCATTGTGCTGAAAAATATTTCCTTAAACTCTTCCTCCCTCGCCAGGTCTGTGTTCTGCGGCTATGGAACTGTACAGCAGAGCACGTGGCAAGCCCTGGCGCTTTGCTGAGGCTCGGCGAGGAATGCCAAACGTGGTTGTCCACCATGGCAACCCTCACCGCCTGGAAGAGGACACTTCTCCAGTCAGCAGCAAACTATTAACACAGCTCCTTCAATAAATTATTAAAAACTTGCCCAGCCCACTACAAAAGCTCTATTTCCAAATGAGTGTCGTCAGCTTTTATCCATACAGGGGAGTTATACTTCTGTGAATTCCAGTTACAATGACAGCTAACATGTATTTTACTAGTAACACACACATGCGGTGTGATTATATTTCAGAGTCAAGGGGAAAATAATAAACTAGGAAAAAAAAAAGTCCTAGCCAATTCCCCTTTGAAATACACTTAATTATCTTAGGAGGAGCATCCAAAAAGAGGCAACAAAAAAAAGAAGAAAAAAAAGAAAAAAAAAAAAAAGGAAAGAAGGAAGATGGAAAAAAAAGAAAAAAGAAGAAAAAAAGGGAAAAATAAAAGATAAAATAAAAAAGAGGGTGAGAAAAGAAAAAAGGAGCATAGACAGCCAAATTCTTTAATAGTGCCTACTTCTTCAAGAAAAGGACACTTTTGTGCTTTCAGAAGCATCTGATTGCTTCTATGTCAGGAGTCTGAGGAATAATTTTAAATACAAAAATGATCAGAGTTTGAATGGCTTTGCCTGACATGTCCTTCCTTCCTGAAGAATACATTTAAACACCATTTTCTCAGCACATCCAAAAGACTGCTTAGGAGCTGGGACTGCGTACTGAGTTGTACAGTAGACCTTGAGAAACTCTACCATCAAAGTTCACCATGTGTCAAGCAGGACAGTCTAATGTACAGCAAAATATTTGATTGTTGCCTTTTTCCTGGGGAAGAACTCATTGATGTGCCCTATTCAGCTCTTCTGAACACTGGGTGAGCTGAGATTCTTTCGCTATACCTGAAACAGGAATCTCCTTTATCAAAACTATGTTGAGCTATTGAGGATCTGCAATTTTCTGGCAGCCTTCAAAGTAACTATTTTCTCTTTACTGGTGAAGCTGAATTTTCCACCTCTACCTTACCTTTCTGAAGCCACTGAAGCTGGGCCTGAGCTGCATTACTTGCATTAGCATATAGCATTGCCCCCCCAAATTTAGCACCATTTTAATTATACCGGATAACAAAAACAGACTACCAAGAGTTATCAGCATCAGCCAAAAAAAGCTAAGATTGTTTCTGTTTCAATACAAGCTGCCCACAAAAATTCTTTTGGTTTTTAATTGTCCACTGTAGTCTAAGACATACAGCTAATTTTTAAATCTAATGTGAGGTTTATCATTTGGGTGCAGAAACCCCATGTGTGAATCACATTGGGCAACTCTGTTTTGTCCCATCCTAACAACTAGCTATTCCAGAATACTTCCAGTGAGGTTATACCAGAAGGTGTTAATGAGACGTGTTACACAAGGCTAAATGGCTAAATATGAGTGATGAACAGGTGTGTTTCAAATTACGCAGCAATAATTTCGAGATGGCAGAATCCAGTCACCTCCTATGACATTTGCCAGAGGAGCTTGCTTAGGAGCTTTGCAGCAAAGTTGACAAATCAGCTGTCTACCTTCTCAGACTCACTGCTTCAGTACCCTTACGATCTCCACCCGTGCACAGTAGGATCCAGAAACCATCCCGAGGAGGGAACTCATCCTCCTCTACCCCCTAGGGAAACTCCTTAGGCAAGACCTCCTTCTTGTGTAAGTAGGGACTTCCCTCTTCTGTGCTCCCCTGGAGAATTACAAAACAACACCCCAGGTACTTCTACGCAGTTCAGAAATATCTGTAGCTAGTAATTACACCATCTTTAACGTCCTTCATAAATCAGGCATGGCTTTCTGCCCCGGAGTTCCACAAATAAAGGAGACTCAGGGAGGGAGAAAGGAAGACTTCTTTTCCCTTTCTTATAGTCAGGAACTGAAGCAAAAGAAATGTAAATATTTTCCTCAGGGTCACGAAAAAGTGTTGAGCAGGGCCAGGCACTGGATTGGGTCATCGGATTTTACGACATGAGACAGCAGTGCGAGCAGTGCAATACAGGCCATCGCTTCTCACAAGAAGGAAGCAACGTCCTGTTGAATTCAAGATTTCTATAAAGCCCGTCCCCTCCTGCCTCTGTACTTGGCTGTGCCACTTTTGCAATTCTAAAAATTAATTTGAGTTTTTATGAATAATAAATCATATTCTTACGTTCAAAAATTCAAGCTTTCATTTTGTTTAATTTTAAGCTATTGATTTCAACAGTGTTCTGACAAAACATAACAGCTTATATGGGCTGATGACTACTGCTACAAATGTGGTCCAGCTGATTAGACCACTTAAAAATATACATTTTCTCACCCAATCAGTTCAGCTAAGAATAAAATATTGCATTAATTTCTTCCCCTGGTGTTGTTCTGTTTTGCATTTTTGTCATATACTGTTTCCT